TATGTAGTATCCTCCACCAACACCTACTCCACAGACGACTAAACATGCGATTACTATTCCAGCGATGCAACCAGCAGAACAGGGTGATGTTTTGACAGCAAAAATAAAAACATGATTTTACACCATTGAATAAACAGGAACTATCTTTTATGCCTTTGGATCTAAAGCATACAATTTCAAATATAAAACTTAAACTTAAACTTGTGTTACAGGAAGATCATATTATCATATAACCATATACAGTGGTTTACCGTAATTTTAAAATTTGATACATAAGATTTTTTAATTACAGTAAACCGCTGTATATGGTGTCTGACATCACCTAAAATTCCCATAATACAGTGGAAATACAGTTATTTACTGGAAAGAGGATATACAGTATTATACTGGGTGTTATGTGGTTAATAACTGTAGAAATTACATATAATGTAATGTTTTAGTATGTTTCAGTAACTTACAGTTATTTGTTTCAGTAACAGGATCTTTTCAGTAACTTAGTTATATATTATTATTAAATTACTTTACACAAAACAAAACATTCCTGTTTGACCAGTAGGCTACTGTTATCGCTTTTTGTGTATGAAAATTGCTGTTTAAATGCAATGCATTATTAAATTGTTATGATAATAACTTACCCTTTAAGGAGGGGGACTCGGGACAATTTCCAGAAATATCCAAAGGCTATCCATGCAATGGAAACATGGATTACAAGGACAAATTATTGTCTACAATTCAACTGGGCTGGATTTTAAAACCAGGACACAGAGATAGGCCGACATTTCTCAGGAGTTGGGATCATTAAGATTTTATTGACACAATTGTATTGGTAATCCTTATTGGTTCAGTTCTTTATTGATGCTCTTATCAGACCTATTTATTACTAAATAATTGCATATATTATTTAAATCTTTTGTTATTTCTAGAAATTCATTAATATATCACTGGAAACAAATTTAACATGTCAGTAAAATAAATATTACATATTCCTGACATCAACATACTGTGTGAAGTTTACAAATTATGAACAACTCAGTCTCTCCTGTCCTCCTCCTCCCTCTTCTGCTGCTGGTAGAGAGGAGGGCTGGTCTGTCTCAGCCACCAGCTGAGTTTATTATGTGCCATATTTTAAAGTACAGGTAAACTAAGCTAAACAGTTACTAAAGACAGACAGCTTTCACTTCAGCTTGTTTTTAACAATAAGATATTAGCTGAACTAGCGCTGTGCCTGTGTAAAACCTAAACACAGCTGCGGTGGATGAGAGACTGAGCAGATTAAAACATGGCGTTTTGCGTATTATTAAACAGGTGTGTTGGTAAAGTAATGGCTTTTTACTCGCAAAGTTTTTACTGAACCACGTATCTACACTAACGAGAGGAGTAGTCAACAATGTTTATTATTATGATGATTATTATTATTATTATTATTATCAGCTGGCTGACTTCGTTCTGTGTGTTCGCGCGTGCGCGCGCGCGCGTGTGGAGTGGAGGTGCTCTGCAGACACACCGAGGAGCGGAGAGGCTGCAGGTCTGAAAGTAAGTGTTGAACCTTGATTGGCGGTGATCAGTACAGCTCATGTGAAACTCAACAGAGATAAATGATATAGCCTACAGTAGCTCACTCTTTAGATTCTTTCATACACTACACATGTAGTGTACTTTTGTTGTCATATAGGCTATATTAGATCATGTGCTGGGCCACATGGAGGTTGCTAATTCCTTAGGACTGCCTTAGACTTTTCGTTCAGAGGGGGGGCCATTTGGGGGGACCAAGGGCTGTATTCCAGGGTGCCCCTGTTGCCCCCCCCCCCCCCCCCAAATTCTATAACACTGTAGCTGGTCATGCTATAGGGCATTGTAAAGTTTAATCATTTGTTACAAATAACGTGGATTTACTTGGTCACAGGGACTTTATAAATTGTTCTCAAGGTGTCTTCCAGTAGGTAATCTTGGAGAGTTTAGTAGATAGCCTACATGTTTCTTTAATATACTATAAGGTCTTTATTGTTTTGCCTACCATCATAGGAATTATGTATTGTAATAGCTGAGAATTATGTTTTACCTGAGTTATTTTTTTAGTGTTGACAGATTGATAAAACAAACAAACTAAATCGACCATATACCCGCGACCCTGTATGCAGGATAAGCGGTTGACGATGGATGGATGGATAAATATTTATTTATTGTTCAATAATTATGATTAATCTCTGTAACTTGAAATATTTGCTCACCATGAACTTCCAGTCTGGTGCTTCCATACGTTATTTCCATCCGTCCTTCTTCCTGTGGTATAATGAAAACAGTGTATTCTCTACTGTCACAGAGATGCAGGATATGTGAATAGTTTGTTCCTGCCTTTGTAAGTTAAGTTTACACCATTTAAAGTAATTATTTTGATCATAGGTAAGTCAATAAATGCCCAGACCACTGATAGAAAGGTTTTTTCTGGTGGAGTCAGTGTTGTGCTGAACATCACTGTCCCTCCCAAAGCTGCATTCAGAGGACCATCTGGCAACACACCAGCTCCTTTGGTTAAACCTGAAAGACACAGTTACAGGTCTCTGGGAAGGATGATAATGAGGACACTGTAAAATTGGCCACTGTGATGATGTGCTTGAATCATAATTTAAGTATTGCTCTAATAACTATTCAAAACAAAAGCAGCAGTAGACAAAACAATCATCTGTTCTCGTGGAGGAAGCTGATATCCTGTTTAGTACAGTCCTTCTGGGTATGCACATAGAAGGCTCTTTTCTGTAGCTTCGTTGTTGCTTAAATTTTTTTTTTAACTTGTGTATTTACCGCGAACAGAAACAAAACCTCTGAATAAAGTTAATGTGACCATCAAATTGTTAACCACCTGAAGAAGCTGAAATGTCACAGATACATTTAGTGTCCTCTTCAACCCCGTATATGAGGAAAGTTTGTTTCTTCTGCTGATCAAAAAATCTGATCACAACAAGAGGAGAACTAATTCTCCTCCTACAGAGAAAGAAAGTCACCTAGAGGCACCTTTCTGATGCTAAATAATCAACTCTGGTTTATAAATATATTATTTACCAGTAAGAACATTTTTAACTGAATTGATGATGGTTTATTTTGTATATCTTGTCTGAGTTAAGAAAAATAAGTTCCACACAGAAAGTGGCTTGATTTTTTAAGTGTCACTGTCCAACAAGTTGCCAGCTAACAGGGATATCTCCATCTACAGAGTCTATGGACCTAACTAATGTGTTTATGCATATGCATGACAAGATTGTTTCATCTTGTGTGTAAAAACAACAAACATTTGCAGTATCATTCTATCTCCCAAATCCCAAAACAGGGAGCAGGTGTAAACGGATGCTGCTGAGCATCAATAATTAATGGTTATATCTTGAGAAATAAGTAAATAAACACATGCTTGTATCTGCTGTTTTAAGCGGTAAGATCTCACCTGTGATGACTCCCAGGATGATGAAGTTTATCACAGCTATTTCAATTTCATCTGCAGTATCATCAAGTATAACAACAACACTTTCCTTTTGATGATTTCAGGATCATTTTTGTTGTAATATATATGATGGTCGCACAAGGAAGTACTGTGCGGTGGGGATTTTCCTGTCATCACATCTCTGAATGGTCACCTAATGATAAACAAGGTCCATGTTTTGAATCATGATTCAACATTCAGGGGGTTTATTCAGAGTGGCCTTATATGGATTTGTTCTGGGCAATGTCGACCTGTCTGTTGGTCGGTCCACACTTTAATCAAGACTAAAATATGGGGTCATTATCAAGGTGATAGATACCCCTTGGTATCCACACAGGGATGTGGTGTTTCTTTTATACTCTAGATACAAATGGAATCATGTTGTTGCATTTTACTCTTTATCCTTCCTTGTCATCTGTATTGTTGGTGTTCAGTTTGGATATCCACAAGCTGTAAGTGCCTCCTTCAGGTGTTTATGCTCATTCCCTTGGGCTCGGGCAGATGTTGGTATGTTGTCAGCTCAGTGGTACAGTATTATGATGACACCTAGCTGATGCACCAGATGGGGTGAGACGACTCAAAGAATAAATATTGGTCTGTGTCTGGTTCAATTGCCTTTGATTTGAACTGTCCTTGGATAGCTATGTCCTGGATGACACTGAATCTTCACATTCAGATTTTTCATCATGTCACACATTTATTCATGTATTGAATGAAGCATACTGGCACATACTACCTTAACACCCAGTTGTTTATTTTTAACTCTTAAAATAGGAAATGAGATGGTTCATCTCAAGGGATTTATCATATTTAATAAACTTGTATCAATTAGTTTTTGCTCTTCATCCATATGTCATGTCTGAACAGAATGAATATTCAGAACCAAGCAGATGTTTTTATGGCTGCACCTATCAAATCGAAATATTCTAGATGCCCTGTGTATAATTTCATAACATTTGGTGTCTTTTCAAACGCTGGGATCTCCACTAGAACCTTTAAAATTATGTTCTGTGGGTTAGAACTACGTTCATGGCTGCACAGCATGAGTTTGCCATGCCTGACCCTGTCTGTGGGACATTACCTTGCTTTGTTTATATTATTTAAACTTTAAGCTCTTTTACAAATAACTGATAGATCAACACCAACTTTCTGTCAAATTATATGGGCATTTTCTTTGCTGCATGCATATTACAGGTTAATAACTATGCTAAAAGGATTTTATGTACAAGTTTGGGCTAAAAGCTTACTGTGTCTTGAACTACCTGAGTGCAAGTTAAATAGCCTAACCAAATATGCCCTATTAACTAAATCAGTTTTATCTCCTGTCGCCCGTGGGGTTATTAATATCACATTATCACGTCTCTTCATTATCCATCAGTAGACCAAAGCAAACACAATCACACCACAAGAGGGCGACGTCCTGCAGTTTTAGGTCATGACTACAGATTCAGTGGGCTTATCTCAATATGCAGACAGGTTGTAACTCAACAAGTAGCTCTGCATTTACTGTCATGTCCTGTAATTACAGCTGCAGGAGGCTCATATTTATTAAGACAGTCAAAGTTTGATGGTTGAACTTCCCTGAGCTGTCTCACAAAAGATAGATCAATGGATATATTACGTTTGCTTTGTATCGTCTCTGTGGCTTTTACAGGTAAGAGTGTTAACGTCCTTTGCTGTCTACTTTAAAAATAGTTGAATAGTTGAAAGGTGTTTTGGGAAGGAATTTAGCTAATGATCAAGAATACAAGATCTTGTGATCTGCTAGTCATGATTTTGTGACTGAATAGCAGCATGAATAACAGCAAAAGTCCACAGAGTATCGTTAACCACAAATTTCTAAAACTGAGAATTGATTTAAAATGGGCTTGCTTGTGGTGTAATCAACATTTAAAACATAAAGGTATCTTTATTAAAAGTCATATTATTATTATTAAAATTTTGATATATTAAAGTGCTTTACTATAGGCTTACTGTGTTTGTATGTTCTGATGTATTTATCAAGCTTCTCAAAGTGCCATTTTAGTCTTAAGTGCTGAGAATTCATGAAATTTACTCCTACTTCTAAACTTAAGAATAAAAGCAAGTTATCAAATTTCTTAAAGCTAAAAATCACTCTTCTTCTCCAGTTATTTAAGAGAGCTAGGGAGGTCTCTCAAGTGGTTAGGAGCTGCCTGTAGGGCTTGTGATGGCGCTGTGGAGACATGCGTAGAGGAGAGGAAGAATTTTGACAACGCACAGTTAATAAGAAGGGGTCGGACAGCGCAGGCATAAACTTTGTCAGCGAGTTGGGGAGGGACGTCATCTCACCACTGACTTTAGGCCTAATGCGTTTTCAGCTAAACTGAAGGTGGTGATGACACTTCGTTTCTTTGCCACAGGACAAACGCAGCAAATCTGATGATTTTGGCCCGTCACAACCATCAATAAGCCAAATAGTCATGGAAACAATTATAGTAATTAGGCTACAGTTCCGCACATTGTCACGCGTTTCCTCGACTTCTCAACAACACCCCCGGTAATCCGACAGAAGCAAACATGCAAATAGCCGGCTTCACATGAGTAGTAGGCGCATTTGATGGCGCTCACATAAAGATAAACTTTTTTATCTTTCATTTATTAATGTGTAGGCCTGTATCATAATGTATTCTCTTGAAAATTATTTATTGTTGAATGTGTGTTGAATATAAACTCCTCTTAGTAATTTCACCATTCATTGTGAATTTATATGAGAATATTCTTAAATAAGGAAATCTATTCAGTGATTGGTCTATAGCGACATCGTCATCCAAAATCCTGTTTGCGGCACGCAAAATGTCGTAAATCAGTATTAAGACTGACACTTAAGATTTAGTCCTACGCTTCATTCAAATTAGGACTATGATGCTTGATAACTAACTTTTAAGCACAGCCAAGATTTTTTTCACTTTTAAGTCAGTTCTTAGCAGTGTTCTTATGAGTAATTCTGAGAAGCTTGATAAATACGGGCCCTGGTCTCTTAGTAACTTCGCCACTTTGTTAGACTTGATTTCCATAATGTGGGAAAGATCCTGGGCCAAAATGTAATCTGCTTCAAATGGTTATGATTGAACAACCTTCACGTCAAGCTCTCAACTCACTGTTTTTGCGATCAAGGATATTGTTGAAACTATTAGTTATTCTCGGACCTGTAACTGTGTCTTAAAGGTTTAACCAAAGGAGCTGGTTTGTTACCAGACGGTCCTCTGAATGCAGCTGTGGGAGGGACGGTGATGTTCACCACAACACTGACTCCACCAGAGAAACCCTTTATAGCAGTGGGCTGGAACATTGGTGACAGAAACATAATCAGTTCAAATGTTGGAAACGTAACTGGACCAGAGTATGAAGGCAGGATCACCTATTTCACTTCTACTGCATCTCTGGAACTCAGGAATCTGACTCTTAATGACAGTGGAGAATACAGAGTTACCGTTACACCACAGGGAGAAGCACAAACGCATGGAACCACCAGACTGTCTGTACATGGTGAGCAAATGTTTCATATTGCGTCTCTTTCAGTGCTGAGTGGAGATTATAGCAATTGAGAAATAAATATTTTTTCTGTTCACATAATTGTGTTTAGGTGTTCATTGATTTCAAATAAGATCTATCTAATTATGTTATAACTTAACAACATAATAATAATTACACAATACTAAGATAAAAACAAATAGCAATACTTCTATTATTCTATATATTATTATAAACAACCTGTAAAACCAAATTTCTGATTAAACTTCCGATGAGTGATGGGGTCTTACAACAGTTCTGGCTTGGGCTGAATGATGTAAAAAGTTATTTTGACAAATATTACGAGTCAAAACTATTTTGTTTTCCACCCACAGAGACAGTTTTTAATGTAATAGTAAATGCCAGCAGCACAGACTTGGTGGAGTTCAGCAGCTCTGTCCGTCTGTCCTGCTCCTTCTCTGGATCCTCCCTCTCTTTCCTCTGGCTGAACGGCAGCTCTGAGGTTACAGCCAGCGACAGAGTTCAGCTCACTGATGGAGGCTCTACTCTCACTATAGTTAATGTGACCCGCTATGACAAGGGACCATTCAGGTGTCGTGTGTTCAATCCTGTCAGTAATGGCACCAGTGATCCTGTAAACCTAACCATCAGCTGTAAGTTGCTAACCCACATGACAGTACTTTATCTGACAACATCTGTATACAACCATCAGAGATAGTTTAGATTATTGTCACAGCTTAGTAAAGAGTGGCTTTTTTTTGTTTATTTCTTTGTTCCGTCATGGTTTGGACAACTTATTAGCAATACGATTTTCAACCTAACAGAATCCAGTTCAACTGCAAACTAAAGCACAGTGTCAACTAAGTCTTTATACAGTCATTTTCATATAGAAAGTGTTTAATGCAGGGCTGTTCAGTTACAATACACTGTACAGCTGTTTCTTTTCTTGCTCATAATAATCACTTAGAATACCGCACAGCGAGCTAAAGCTGAATGCCTTTTTATTTTTCATTACATTTTGGTGATTTGTTTTCTGTTTTTATCCCGGAATTCAGATGGCCCAGAAAATATTAATTTGAAGCTTTCTCCAACACAAAAATATTATGAGGAAGGTTCAAACATCATCCTGTCCTGCTCAGCTGACTCCAGACCTGCTGCCCACTTTAACTGGTTTCTGAATGCAGACCTGCTTTCTGATACTGGACCAGAGCTCAGACTGATGAACATTCAGGAGAGTCAGAGTGGAAACTACAGCTGTCGGGCCTTTAACAACAAAACGGACAGATATGAAACATCTCAGCTTTCAGTTGTTTTTGTACTGGGTAAGTTTGAATACAAAGTTTTGTACAAAGAAATGTGGATTTTACTGACGGGATTTGGGGATGTACTAGTAATTGTATCAGGCAAAACTTTCTTAAATATAAAAAAGGATGTACTAACATTTGTGGCACAAACAGAAACAGTACAAACATTTGTTTGCACTCAAGATCAGTAGCACAGGAACGGTTGTTGCAAGAAAATATAACTACTACGCAACTTGAGGACAATCATAGTTAAAACAATCACTATTTAAAGAGGTAGTATTATGCTTTTTGGCTTTTTCCCTCTCCTTTATTGAGCTATATAGCTTTTTTGTGCATGTAACAGGTTTGCAAAGTCCAGCCCAAAGGGAGTACCCACTCGCACAGAAAACACTGCTCTGAACTGCCTGAAAACAGCAGTTTGTAGTCCAGCGTAAAGTGTGCGTCATATAAAGCTTGCCAAGCAGCTAGTCATACACCCTCAAAAACACCGGTGGAAAAACACTGAGCTGCAGCACACACACCTCTGCTCTCCCTTCCAAACACTAGCTACCCTCCAGGCAGTCAATGGACATAAAGTGAGACAGAGCTCAGTTATAAATTTATGGATGAAAAATACTTTTGTTGCAGATTTAAAGTTCAAAGTTGTTACTGTGATATAGAGTATAGAGTTATAAATTTATGGATGAAAAATACTTTTGTTACAGATTTAATAACTCACCACTCTGAAACTATTGATCCAGTCTATGTTGTCAAGCTGGTCAGCAACATGTAGGCTACAGCTGAACCGAAGCCGTGGCTGCATCTGAAAAGTAAAAAAAATCTCCTTTCCTAACCACCTTTCCTTGACCTCAATGGAAAATGTCATGAGGTCAAGGAAAGATGTGAAGGAGAATTCATAAGGACTTAGGAAAAGAGGACTGCGGAGCTCAGAGAATCCGACCGCTATTTTCTAGGCGACGGCGGATGTTACTGGCGTGACCTGCAGTGATGAAACTACAATGTTCTGAAGATGGACTCCAAAAAGCGAATCTTTGACACTGCGCCCCATGTTGTTTTAATGCAGGTCATCTAAAGGTGGACAACACGGTGAATTATTACTCCATAACCAAGATAGCAAAAAGGCAGCCCACCCATTTTCATCAACATGAATCCCAATTATTGTATGTAAACATAGTGTTTCCCACAGAATGAAAGGCGCGGGGGGGGGGGGCGACGACCCAACAGAAGGGGGTGCTTAGCGAATAGCCTAGTAGGCCAGCTCTGTGATCAAATCCAATTTTACCCATTGCCTAGTAAAAACAATAATCGAAAACGTGGCGGTCAGCGTTGATGTGTTAAACACTGACTGCAGCTTGCATCATTGCCTCTATTAAGGCGAGGGTGTCGGCATCTGTGACTGAAGTAAAATTAATTAGTGATATTACTAATTATCTGTGACTGAAGGCTGGCAATACGTAGCCTAACATGAGCCTACACGCTGCAACATTATCCTCACTTTTAACATTTGACGAGACTACACAGCTCGCATGGGTCTCATTGTTGTCTCACCGGCTTCTCACTGACCCGCCCTTCTCTGCTTCTGATTGGCTAGTAATCCTTAACTGGGAACTGCACATGTGCAACTCCCTACAAGATCATGTAGAGGCAGGACGCATCACTCCATAGTGTAGTAGACCTAAATTTATTAGTTATGCATTTTAATAAATTTATGAGAATTGATACCCAATTATGAATTAAAATTCATAATTTCCTCGTTAAGGGCACCACTGGAGTTGTTATAATCCTAGAGTCTCCGGACCTCTAGGTAGTTTGAATAATTATACAATTATTACTAGTGATCAGTTAGTTAATAATCACTCAATTATCTTAAATCAGTCAGTCAGTCTCATATCTAAAGGGTCAATTCTCTTGGCAGGAACTATAAATAGGCAACACACACAGCTCTTAATTATATTACAGTGAATTTATTCTCTAACTAAGGTGATAAAAAGATGGTTGGATACAGGGAACATAAACATTTGCTGAACAATGAGCCTGGAGGTTCGATTGTGGGAAGCATTTGACTCGTACGGCATAGAAGAACTAATGTAAATAAAGTAATGCTATGATTTTAGGAGTTAAAATGGACATCTGATCACAGGACGTGTGTTAAGTCTTACTGCTTGTCGACAGCCTGCTTTTGGCCTGTTGCACGGGTCCCGCGCTAGCTGCCGATCCTGGCTTTTTGCTAGGGATTCTCCGGGGTTCTCCGTGTCTGATTGAAAACGCCTCCTCCGTCTGGCAATTCGGCTGTTTGCAGGTTTCCTTCGTTGTAGCTGGCGAGACCACGTGGCTTGGTCTGACCTCGGTGAAGTTGGCTTCGACGAAAAAGGCTTAAAATGGAACTTGGTCGTTCCTGAATTAGTCCAGTGTAACTTAACGGACTCATAACTTTAACAAACAAAAGAAATAAAGAAAATAAAACAAACTGAAGGCAGATCGATGTCGCGGCACTTCAGGTGTGTAGCTTCAGGCGAACAAAGGGCCTGTTTGTTTTGCTGGCCGAGTCTGGGTGTTGCCTGGCGAGGCACGCTGCGCGTGCCGAAGCGTCCAGAGGGCCGAGTGGAAGAGCCAACAGCGAAGAGAAGAGAGGGCAAGAGGTCACGTGTCGCTCTTTTGTTGCCTGGGGCGTGGTTCCCCAGGGGGCGTCTCAGGTTTCCCAAGGGACTGCCTTTCTAAACTTAATGTCTAAAGAAAAGAAATCTATTTGCACGTATTATAATCAAATATTTTCCACAATCGAACCTCAATGGTTGAACGGTTGTACTGTTCTAAGCATTTGGTAACAGGAAACAATTGTCACATTATTGGTCAGGATATTTATACATTTAACGGCATTTCCGACGAGGGCATGTAATACTTATTTCGTCCACTTGGGGGAGCTCAGGTTACATGAAGAAAGCTTGGATTAAATCAAAGATAGTCTCTCCTTAGGAACCGGGGAATTTGTTGATTCATCCTTAAATTCAAGCTGGCGATTAAGAGTATCGTAAAACATTTCTTTGTCATCATTTCTAAAGGGATTTTGTAAGAAAGTATTATGAACAAGCACTGATTACATTAGATGAAGGAGTGTCTTGCTGAAAATAAAAACACTGCACAAGTAACTTCTTTTCAGCACTAATAAACAACAGATAGCAACAACAGTTAACATAACTACTCAAATAGAGGCAAACATATTCAGGTAACTAAAGATTTAATTAAACTTTGAGTCTTTGGAGATTGCAGTCCAGTTCAGTGTCTGGACAATGTCACACTTAGGTGAGACAAGGAGTATCCCTTTGATGTGGTAATAAAACAAAGAATAAGGTCAGTTGCCACGGAAACGTGTGTGGGGGGGCCAGTTTTGATAGGCTGTTCAGGGAGATGCCAATGGCTGGCTCGTGTCCCTTTGTCAGTTTAACAGTCAGGCCCCGCGTTATCAGCTTCGGAATCAAAAAGGTGCCAGTTTTATGGTCAGGATAGCACTTAGAGAAAGCAACTTTGACCCCTCCCCATCTTCTCTGGGGAGGAGAAAGGAATTTAGGGTAGCTCCAAATTTATTCAATATAAAATGCACAAATCCACACCGTTGTTCACTACAATAGCTGAAACGAAGCCTTCAACAGACAGGGTGAAAGTAGAGCTGCAGCAATGTGCAGTATGACAACAATACATCGTTTTTAAAAAAAATTTAACTATGTAAACCTGTTCTGGTACAAAACCTAAATAAGATTGTGAACCTGAAAATGAGCATAATACCACCTCTTTAAATACACAGTATTTTCGGTAACTGTAATATCTTTGCAGTAATCTAGTCTGGTGACAGATTATATTGCCTTTCACATCTCAGTTGTTTTTGGAGTGACTGATAATGACATTGCCATCCAGTCTGATTGGTTTTAGGCAAGAAAGCTGGCAAGTATAAAACCACTGTGTTTTTCACCCACAGCAAGTGTTTCCAATGTTGTGGTGACCTCAAACACTACAGACTTGGTGGAATTCAACAGTACTATGAGTTTGTCCTGCTCCTCGTCTGGATCCTCCCTCTCTTTCCTCTGGCTGAACGGCAGCTCTGAGGTTACAGCCAGCGACAGAGTTCAGCTCACAGATGGAGGCTCCACTCTCACTATAGTCAGTGTGACCCGCTATGACCAGGGACCATTCAGGTGTCGTGTGTTCAATCCTTTCAGTAATGGCACAAGTGATCCTGTAAACCTCACCATCAGCTGTGAGTTATTAACCTACATGCGCATAACATTTATCTTGCACTATATTCATGCAGTTTGCTCTGTGCTGTGGACATACAGCTTCAAAGATACATCTTTGATCTTCATTTGATGGTGTACTGAGGCTTCGCACTCTTTTTTCAAGCTGCTAACATTACTACTTTGTTGTTGCTTTTTACTCCCCATACGGCACACACTGTAGATGGCCCAGAAAATATTTATTTGACAATATCTCCGACACAAGAATCCTTTGAGGAAGGATCAAACACCAGTCTGTCCTGTTCAGCTGTCTCCAGACCCTCTGCCTTGTTTAACTGGTTTCTGAATGGAGACCTGCAGTCTGATACTGGACCAGAGCTCACACTGATAAACATTCAGATGAGTCACAGTGGTAACTACAGCTGCCAGGCCTTTAACAAAAAAACCATGAGATATCAAACTTCTCAGCCATCAGTTGTCTCTGTACTGGGTAAGTTGAAATGAATAGGTTTTTACTGTAGTGACACATTCAACAAGATAGCATTTTATTGTCAGTAGTGGCATTTGGATATAGTACTGGAATTAGCATTCTGTTAAAGGTGGGGGTTGCCATTCTGGACAAATCCAATATCACACCAAATACCATGATTTGGAGCAAATGATGACACAGCAAGTAGCTATAGTTGTGGGTTAGCAAACTTACGCCACAGTTGCTGCTGCAAAGCTAAAATGCATAATATAGATAATATAGTTAGTTGTAAACGTTTCCCATTTACAGAGCCAGGGCTGTGTTTTTTTTGCGCACACACACTAAACGGACAGCTATGGACCTTGAGCTATTTACTGTATTTGACAAAAAGACGTGTATCGGATTAGAATCATATACCCCACCTTTAACGCCAAATAATTTGTGTTTGGCTAAGTGTGTTCTCAGATCAGATTACCTTCATCTTAAATAACAAAAGACAAGAAAAACATTATTTGTGTAATCCAAGGAAAGTTAAAATCCAATGGACTTGGTTGAATACGTTTTGCTTCTTCAGTTCTGACTGACTAGCAGGGAATCCCAGCCATTTAACCTCTGTGGGGTCATTATCAAGGTGATGGATACCGCTTGGTTCATTATTTATGCATTTCTTAAATTAATAAGTTACAACTGTACTCTGAAAGTAACAACTAGATAGTTACACATAGCCCAGGGTAGGTGTAAATCATTAAATGTCACAGAATAAAGCTCAACAATTGTTAAACTGCAGTTTTTTTGCCACACAGCATCATTTTTTTATAAATTGCATACAATTATGCAACACTGCAATCCAGCAGAGCCCTTATTTATTGATAATCAAAATATTACGATGTGCTATGATGCCATGTGTCTCATACCAGCAAGAAAGCTAATGTGCACAAAACTATAACGATGGAATCTAGGATCTCTGATTGGCCACTCGCAATAGTTATGACTTTACATCAAAACTAGTTAGGTTAGTTAGTAATTGTGGTGCAACCAATTTTAGTAGCTAATTTGTTACAAACTAACTAAGTAGTAGTTACTAAGCCTCGACTTTGCACCCTAACCTAGGAGAGAACTTAGGAGAGAACCCAGTGTAGGCCCCTAAAGCGATGGACTTGAGCTGGTTCTTCTTATTTATCCACTGAGGGCCAGCCAACTCATCCTTGTTCATTTATTCTTACAGGTCGGTAAAAGTCATAAAGCACTTCACATCTAATTAGAACAGTTAGGGTTTTTTGAAATGTGGAAATGACGTCAACAGCAGAAGATTACATGCTACGATGATGTGATACAAGTTACTCATCTATCTCCTTAAATGTGTAACCTAAAAAATAGGTAACTGTTCACTAACAAGTTTGCTGTATGTCTGTGAAGGTTCTCAGTCATCCAGGTCACAGGTATCCAAAGAAAGTTGTATCAACTTATCAACAATAATTATGTGTCAATATTGTGTTTACAACTTGTTTCCACTGATTCCAAGAGGCAAAAAACTTTATTTCAGGTTTAAGGATTTCATGCTCTATTATGACTTGTGGTCAAAACTTTGAAACAATAACATTTGAACAAATGGAGAGCATGTTACCTGGCAAAGATCACGACTCTTGCAACTGTCGACTTAATTCAATTGTTAAAGATTTTTTTGTAATGTTTGCTCCTTCACAATGGTATTATATTTATTTACTCACCCAATCAACCCCATAGTAACACAGTAACAGTCAGTTGTTCATGTTTTCACACAAATTCTGTGATGTTTTGTTCTACAGAGAGAATATCAGGTGCTTCTGTCAAATCATCAACAAACATGCCGATTGAGGGGAGCTCTGTCAACCTAACCTGTGACGCAGCTGGCACTGTCTTTACCAGAAAGTGGGTGAAGGACGGCTCAAATCTGACTCTGACTGACAACATGATACTTCACGATAACAACAGAGTGCTGTCTTTTATCAGTCTGAATAAAAAAGACAGTGGTAAATATTCCTGTAAAATCAGCAACCCAATCAACACTGAGGAAGCTACATACACCGTGGTTGTTAACTGTAGGTAACACACTGTACAATGTACATTTACTGTTCAAAATGATGACTGCCATAAATAACTGTGTGCGACTGGTTTTGGTTTGTCAGCATGTAACACAAGTTTCATATTCTTTATTTCATAGTTATTATTTGTGCTGCTGTAAGAACTTTACAACTATGTTTTTTTCAGATGGACCAGAAAATGTTCAAATCACAGGTCCAAATGAGATCCATATTGAACAGACCTTAACATTAACCTGCTCTGCTGAGTCCACACCATCTGCTAGTTACACCTGGACACTGAATGGGACTGAGATACACAACTCTTCTGTGTTTGCTAAAGACATCACTGAACTTTCTGACAGTGGCAACTACATCTGTGAAGCAATGAATAATGTAACTGGAAAAACATCATCATCAGCGGTCCACCAGTTGTCTGTAACAGGTAACAAGATGGAGTTGATTGATTTTTGTTGATGCTCTTGGATGTTGACCACTTTATTCCACAATGTTATATTTCTGATGATATCAAGAGTAGCTTGTACGTCTAAGATTAAGAGTAAGATTTATTTTAGAAAAATTTTAATCCAATACACGTTTTTTTATATTATATGATATTTTTGTCAAATTCAGCAAATATCTCCTCATAGTCTGCTAGCTGTTTTTTATGTGCGTGCGCCGAAAAACAAAACAGTGTTTGAACTCAGCCCTGGATCTGTAAACAGGAAACAAATAAAGTGTCCGGCACCCAATCACACAACACTATTCCATCCAATTTAGCCATGATTTGTGACTGGCTGCTTCTGTTGGGGTGTTTAATAGCAGGAAATATGTTTGAAGCTGTTTTGCTGACTCTGGGACTGTCTTGTCCTTTCTGCATGTTAGCGTTGTAGCAGCAACTGTAGCAACAGTTTGCTAACATTAGTTACAAAACTTGATGTGTGGTTGTTCACTCTATATCATGGCATTTGTCATTTTGTTGGATTAGAATCGCTTCGTCCACCTTTAAAAGATTACAAAAAAATGTTGCATTTCACTTCTGCAGTTTAACATTGTGGAACTCTTGAAGGACAATTCAAAAAACAGTATGAAAACCACACAAAATCACCCAAAGTGCAACTCAACTGTCCAAATTTTGGTCAGATATTTGGATTTTTTATGCTAGTTCCTATTGTCACTAAGAGTAGCCTCAAGCAGAGGTGGGGAGCAGGGTGCAGAGGTCTAGTAAGCCCTTTTAACACCACATCCCCAGACTCATGCATAAAGTCTTATTAAGTCCCCCCTGACTCAGGTGACATCACTTAAGGCAATTTATCTGTTTTTATGCACCTTCATCTGAAGTCACAATAGGGACACAAAGAGTTCCCGTTTAAGCAAAGCATAAATGTGATAGCATGTTTACTAAAGCAAAATCAGCCTTTCTGCCAAACAATAATGTTCTCCAGCTAAAGGAGACGCTAAGGCATACTCTTAAAATGAAAAAATAGATATTCATAAGTGATGCACTGTGAAATTACAGTAAGGGAGAAATTATTGTATGCTTTGTATCCACTATAGTTCCTGTCTACAGAATGGTGTAAAATCATGTTCTTGTCCGCTTTTTTTATTTTAGCTGTCAAAACATCACCTTGTTCGGCTGGTTGCATCGCTGGAATAGTAATTGCATGTTTAGTCATCTGTGGAGCAGGTGCTGGTGGAGGGTACTACATTTATCGAAAAAAGTAAGGGGGAAAAAGCTTTAAGATAGAACCAGGAAGCCATTTTTTAATTATTAAGAATCAATTAATTCCTAATTCCTAAGCCTGACTTTACCTTTGACTCTGACTCTCTTGTCCAAAACTAATATTTTCATCAGTGTTCATCCTTACAGTACTGCAGGCTACACAGCCCTGTTTAATTTTTTAGAAATTGTGCTTATGTATTCAGATAAGCTAGAATGTGAGAAAACACTTATGGGGACAGCTAAATTACTCTGAGCTAGACCTGTCTTACCTTTTTTTTTGCTGAACCAGGAGCAACAGTGTAAAAGAGTAAAAGAGAGGGTTTTTTAGCTTCTGAAATTGCATAATATTTTTACTGTTTCTCCCAACAACACACAATTATGATCATCAAAATTGACTTCACGTAATCAAAAGCAGCTTACGTAAAATGCTTACCTGGTTACTAAGTACACATAATGTTGTTATCATCATTATTATTATTAATATGTTTCAAAAAGTTCATACTTGTCTAATATCTAATTTAGAAACTAATGACTCATTATCTCTCTAATCAGAAAACAGACAAGGAGCTGAAGGCGAGAACAACACAGCATTCTCAGGAAGTCAGGTAAAAGTCATCAGTGTGTACAATTGAGAAACCAGATGACAAACTACTTGAGAAATCAAGCTACTCAGTTAATCTGGGAATGCCTACATGATTCTCAGTTCAAAATTTATGCCCATGTTCCATTGCAAATTGCATATAACCGCTTACATGTATGTTTGCATTTGAATACATGTAATTTCAAGTAATGACTGATTTATCATCTTTGGAGTTATGTTTTATATACATGAGTAAACAATAACTCGAGGATCCAAAGGGATAAATAAATCAGCTTATATTTAATTAATGATTTTATTACATATAGAGCACAATTTGATACAGTACAAATTATGCCTTTGTTCAGTGTTAAAATTATTAAATGCCAAACAATTCAGCAGTTTGCACTAACCTTTCTTCATTATAAACAGTAGAAGTTGTAATAGTAGTAAGAAATGGGTAATACTCAAGAATAATACAGTAGTAAGTAGCATGTGAATCTGCACAAAATACAACATCGCATGAGCTAATGAAAATACAAGATGCTGAGAAAAGATTATTTATAAAGTGTGCTTTAATATAAGAATGGCCAGTTTACAATCAGGTTTGATTAGATTGATTGAAAGAGGATTCCTCTTGCACTCATCCAGGACCTGTGTTTAC